TACATATTTATGTGAATTGCATTCTCAGCATTGATGCTTATAAAATTTAAATGTCAATAAACTCTGGAAAGTCATGAAGATGCTCTACATCCTGCAATACTAAACATTCACATGAGATTTAATTCTTGATGTTCTGATCAATAAACAAGTCTATTCATTACATTAGTATGCAAATTTGCTTTTATCTTTATAAATGGTATGGCTATAATATCAAAGAATTGTTTTAAAACAAAATTCTTCTTAATTTATTATAAATAAGTGCTTGATTTATGTACCTATTTAATATACTCATAGATCTAAATTCCTATAAAAAAAATTGGAGCAAAAATGGGCTACAAGTAGTATAAGTTTAAGAAGTCCTAATTCAAAAGAAGCTCTAACTGAGCTCTTAAAAGTATCAGTAATAGGCTGGGTTGTGATGGCACACGCCTTTAATCCCAGCACTTGGGAGGCAGAGGCAGGCGGATCTCTGTGAGTTAGAAACCACCCTGGTCTACAAGAGCTAGTTCCAGAACAGGCCCCAAAGCTACGGAGAAGAAAAAGAAAGAAAGAAAAAAAAGAAAAGAAAGGTATTACTAATAAGAATCTGGATGAAACCAAAATTACATCCTTGGAATAACATGGAGTACACAATTTCCTAGGCAAACAAAACACAGCAATCACCTGATCACTCGATGCTTGTTTAAAAGACAATTCAGTAAAATGCACAATTTTTAGTAATTGTTTACGTAAACAGTTTTTCTAGAAATAGTCATCTTTACCATAAGACTGATGGCCAATCACACACATTGCCACCGGAGGTTCTGAGTTAAGCAGACGGCGACTATAAAGCCGATCAAATCTAACCGGCCTTAGGGAAATGGAATCCGTGCCCTCTAAGTACCCATTAGTACAAGCTTAAGCCTAGGGAGCGAACTCTCTGTTGACAACGTTCTGCTACCTGGAAGGTGGATGATCCCTCACTCCTGACTCAGATTACTTCCTGGGTTCTATATCATTCGTACTAAAATGTGACCAGCACCTGTCACAATAGGAGGGTCAGAGGCACATGGGTTTTTAAAGAGACTCAGAAATCAGTCAGTTTGTTTGCACTGTTAAACTAAGGAGAGAATGGAGGCCCCAAAATGTGCATGGGCCTGCTCAGTGGGTCCCAGTGGGGGTGGTTCCAGTGGGACAGAACACAGCCCTCCTGGACTTCATCCATTCTTGGGCATCTTTAAACTGAGGGTGAGGGCACTGGATCATGGAGGAGGCCATCCATCGCAGGCCTGCGTTCTAAAGGGCAGGACCTGCTTAGAGTTTGGGACAGGAAGTGAAAGTTTCTAACCTGAAGGTTGTGCAGTGACAGTTACAGAAGGTAAAGGCAGAGGTTTTGAATGACTGCCACTTGGAAGCTCTTTGAGAAGCCTCAAGGATGTCATTGAAGAGTGAGTGCCATAATTTGGTGAAAACATTTTCCATAGAAAATTACTTTGGCTTCAGCATATCTAGGAATGGACACTGTATGTGTGTGTAGGGGGTATGAGTGGATATTTGTTATTTAAAACACATAGAAAAATAAGGAACTGAGGCAATCCCCTTGTTTTGGACATCAGGGGGAATGGTAGGCCTACATCTGAAAAATGAGTTTGGTATTTTCATGTTCTGGGATGAGGCAGAGTCAGATAAACAAGAGGTAGAGCAGGAGGAGATTGACGATGCTGGTCAGAAGCATAAAGTATTTGCCAATTGGCCAGTGACTGATTAGGAGAGGGTTGAAGGCAGTGCAAAGAAGCTTCTATTAGTATATTGTTTTTCTGGGGAAAAGTGGTCCAATGTACTGATGATAGTACCAATTTACATGAAGAATAAAATTGACATCTAGGTTCTCATGGCATTTCTGCTTGTCTGTGATGGTGTCTTTCCAGGTGTTTTGTGGGGGTGGGTAGGGGGAGAATAGTTTTTAAAGTCCTTATGCTGACAGGCCTTCATTACCTTCAGTATCTCCACTAAGTAGGGCTACAACAACTTGAGACAAAGTTTCCACAGTGATTTTCGGGAGCAGAGATACAATGTATCAAATCCAACTTCAAGTCATCACCATTTCTGTTAGCCAACCCTCACCAGGGCAGGTTTCCATATAAGGCATACTCTCTAAACCCTTGACTGTAATAGGCTTCTCTGATTGGTCTTCATAGACTTCTGCTAAGATAATGGGCCATCATACATCCTGGATGTACATCTCTCCGTATTGCTAAGGGTACACCTCTATTGTTCCTGCTACCATGGTTTATTGCTTAACAAAGTTGCATATAATGTTACTTTTGGTCATCTTTTCATCTGAGGCACCTTGGAGGAAGGGTGGGTGATCATGGCTGCAAACATCTACTACTCCAGTCCTTAGGAAACTGAGTTAAATAATTGCTGTGAATCTAGGCCAGCCTGGGTTGCAGTAGAAGACTTTAAACCAAAACCAAACCAAACTAAACCCAAAAACCTAGTTGAAAAACGACCATTGAATACATGCCTATGAACACACACACACACGAAATAGAAATATCACCTAAATTTTAAGATGGATGGATTGTAAATTAATTTTGATTTTCCTGGGGGCAAGTTCTTAGGTTACCACAAAACCCCTGGCCTTTCTTTCTCTTGTAGTCTGCCTTTGCCCATTCCACTTGTTATTCAAGAGTTGGGAAGAAAAGGGGAGAAGTTGAAATTCCTGTCTGCTAATGAAGCTGTCCTTGAAGCAGATTGAACTTAACGAGTAAAATCAGTCCTCAGGTGGTGGTCTGAGGTAATCAATAGCTCTCACTAACCAGACAGTCCCTGATGCACACCCCGAACCAGCGACGGTGTGCGCAACACATGAAGTTTCTTTTACAAACCCACTTAAACTCTGCAGGGTTAGTTAGCACCTGTGTCCCCAAAGCACATGGCAAGTCCTGTACCTCAATTTGGAAGTTGGAGTGCTGGTCTCTACAGTAACAGAAGAAATGGGTGGTGATCTGTTTCGCTAGGGCAATTTCACGGGCCTGAGGAAAGAATTTAAGAGTTTATTTTCTGAAGCTAGTTCAAGGAACATTCCTTCAGTGAAAAAAAAATCAATCGAGAATAATCTTACTTTTTAGGGGCAGCCTTTTTAATATGGAATTTCCATCTGTGATATATTTAAATTCTAGGCCTCGGGTAACAATAGCAGAGAAAGGCCCCTGTACCCTTCATTAGATGCAAAGCAAACAGGACACGCTGGGGGCGGAGCTTTCCTTTACTTCCCCACTGCTTTCCCTTTCCCCTCAGAGAAGTGCTAGGCTTGCCTCACAGTCTCTGAAATCACGCGTTATGGCTTTTCCCCCCTCTCCCCTCGCAGGAAACTCTCCCGTTGGCATCTACCTATGTATTGCAACTTTAATGACTTCCAATTGTTTTGTCTGCCCCATAACCATAACCTTGTAGAAAAGGGGAACCGTAAACTCCTTCAAAACCAGCTTGCAGTCCGTAAGCAGAAAACTGTCAATATCGAAATACAATACTAGCTGGATCCAGATTTGACGCGCTGACAAAGGCAGGGTTTGCTATTTAGGAGAGCTCAGCCATCTTGCCTGAGTACATGAAGCGGGCGGTCCCGTCTTATTGCCTAGGCACTTTACCAGGGATTTCTAAGTTGAGGTAGAACTCCCAGCGTCCCTTAGAACCGAGGCCTAACCCGCTGAAGCTGTCAATAGAAATCTCATTTAGGATGCGGAACGAACGCGCAAGTTTCAGACTTGATTATGCATTCTCCCAGTCTCGAAAAGGGCAAATTCAACTCCGTTGCAAGCTTAGAACTTTATTTCTGATTTTTCTTGACCTGTGGCATGTATTCAGCCCCTGGGTAGCAATTGGGGTGAGACCAGGGCCCACTCTTTAATGGCTGAACGCACACATTTAGTCAGCACATGGTGGATTCGCTGCTCTGAGAATTGCCTTAGGAAAAAAAGTAAAGTGCAAAAGCAGACAAAGAAATCTATAACCTTCGCAGTCTTTCCCATTTGTTCGGGCCGTTCTCCGACCCAGCTCGGAAGCAGCAGCGACAAGGATCGCGAAGGGATGCACCTGAACCAGTGTCTGCGGGCGGCCGCCTCGGCCGAGCCGCTCAATTGCTGCTTTCCAGCGGCGAAGGCGCAGCAGCAGTAACAGGGAAGCCAGCGCGAGCCTCCCCGGCGGCGGCGGCGGCGGCGGCGGCACCGGCACCAGCGCAGTTTCCCCTCTCCCCAGCCCTGACTCTACGCGCACATGCGCACTGCGCCCGCAGCCCTGGACCATTTGTCAGGACTACTCGTGAGACGGAGAAAAAAAAAAGAGAAAATTTGGGGGTAAGAAGCGGCTGATCGGATCTAATCTCTAATTAATCCGCAGCTCGGCCCGTGCCAAAGCCATTCATTGATTTTTTTTCTGGGTGAGGATGAAAGTTCCGAGAGCTAGAGAGGGAAGGAAGCGCACCCTCGTCTTGGGAAAGCGATCAGGGGAGGGGAAGGAGAGAAGGGGTTTCTCCCCCACTTCTCTGCGCCTCTGGGAAAGAGGAGAAAACTTAATCCCGGGGAAAAAAAGTGGGCAAGTGACTCGGAAGCGG